TTTTACCTCCCCTCGCTTCCCATCACTTCCGGTACTTCCGTTACTATATGGTTGTATTATTGAGCGGCAAATTTGAACTAATAAAAAGCAACGAAATTTTAGTCCCATAGTTATTTAATGATTTTAAAATTAAATTATAAGGAATGACTCCAATTCTTGGCCAAATTATTCAAGTATAACCTGGATTGGGTCAGTTAAGCGTAAACTGACCCAAACCAGGTTATACTCGAATAATTTGGCCAAGAATTAGAGTCATTCCTAAAATACCGTAAAGTGGCATTCTCTAAAACTTGACAAAAACGGAAAATGATATCAGATATCGCGGATTATAAAGCGTAAACTGACCCAAACCAGGTTATACTCGAATAATTTGGCCAAGAATTAGAGTCATTCCTAAAATACCGTAAAGTGGCATTCTCTAAAACTTGACAAAAACGGAAAATGATATCAGATATCGAAGTATTAATATGATAGAACAGGAATTTATCTATATTTTATCTTGTCTTAAAAAGATTCTCAGAAGGAAGGGGGGAGGGGGGTTACAGCAACCATTCAACAGGTGCCTGTGGATTGGATTGTTACCTGTTGAATGCATTTTTACCACAAAATATCATTAAAAAATCGTTAGTTTGAATCAAATTCAATGTGTTTGTTATTCATTGTAATCCAATTACCCTTTTCTAATTAAAGTTATGTAAGGTTTCGATATAAATAAACGTCTGTACATTTACGCAGAATCTTGAAGAAATATCAATCATCATGATATTACCCAAGCATTAAGCAATGAACGTCTCACAGGGTGCTTGGGATCCTTCTACAAACACAGTCTATAGAATTAATTAAAGGCCGAGGTTTTCAACCGGTCGGTTTTCCTCAGGTAAATTTGGTGTGGGGTGGAGCTTAATTGAAACGGCTGAGAAGCCCCGAAGGAACCAAGCTGGCTTGTGTATACCTACCTATATACACAGGATGTTACCTGTATATTACCTGTAAATGTTTTCCTAAGACATTGTTTAACTTCGCGTGTTGGTCAATCGAAATGTTGATCGTCAAATTTATGAAATAAAACATGCTAATTTTTTTTATGTAGACTGATTCCTTTAGTTCAATTCTTTTTTAAAAATATGTTTGAATAAAGGAGACAATTTTAGTATTTCAAATCTTTGGTTGTAAGCTGGCGACACCGAGAGAAATAGTCATTCGCAAAACGAAAGTAGAAAAAAGCGCGGTCCTGAATAAGTCTCTAAAACTTAGAAATCCTGTTTGAACTCTAAGTTTTGTAGAAAATATATAATAAATTAGATAAATATTTTTAATATAATTCCTATGTGATTAACCCATGACGCATGTTTCGTAAAAATGGTCATGGCATCCGGGTATTGTTTCTCCGACAGGTAGACGAAACGGGAATATAATCACTTTATCTTACTTTTTTCCTCGGGTTCCATAATTCTAAACATAACTTGTATATATATGCTATGACAGCTTTTATGATACTGCTTATTTCTCTTTAAAACTGGTTATTTTACCGTAACTTTCATCACCATGTCTCGAAGAAATATTACACGTCTTAAAAATTTTAACTTGGACAATATGACTATCTCATAATTACAAAAAAAAGGAATTATTATTTTATTAAATTACACGATGCTTCTAATGCAGTTCAGTTTTTTCTGTTTTAAATAAAATCGATGTACGTGTAAATTTGGATAATCTATTATACCGCATTATATAGATTGTACAGTGAAATGTACCCCCTTTCTTAATTACAATTTAAATGGGTACTTGACTGATTTTCTTTTTCATTTATTTAATTATTTGACAGACTGATTAAATATAAATTATATATGGCTCATTACTTTATCATAAAGTAAAAAAAAATAATATCAGCTCTGGCTGCTTCTTTAACACGATGTATGCGGTAGGCATCAAAGACTGAATGTTAATTCAATGATCGGTACGATCCCCAGCCAAGGTATACAAGATATACACAACGACAGGTAACAAAATGTCAATCAATTTTCAGTATCCAATCTCAGGCTTAATTTCATCTGATTGACAGGGGTTCACAGACCAGGTAAAATTGAGGGTGGTGCTTATTTCCTCCCCCTTTAAGCAGTATGCAGTCAAAACATGGATGTGAAGGGTGTGAATTTATGGTGTCTACCCACTTAGCCAAAAATTCTGAAATTGTTACAGGTGACTGGTTTTTGTTAGATGGGATTGGTGTACAGGCTTCGGGGCCACCAACGCTGAGATTTTTATATGTTGGTGGCCCCGAAGCCAGGTAAGGACACTAAGAGAAAAAAAAAGAAATTCATTTCATTACATGTGACATTGGCTGCATTTCGTTTCCGGATTTTTTAAAATAATGAAATATTGTCATTTCCGACATTTTGTAGCTTGCATCTCCGACATTTATCATAGTACTTCTAGAATTAATCACTGATATCCAAATAATAAGTTTTGCTTAGCTTTTAAAGAAACTAATGAAGATTTTACCCTGGAACACATGCATAAGTGTTGTGAACTTTTCGCTCACCTCCTGCACTTTTTACTTGACTTGGTGCTGCATATAGATACATGCAATGCAAAATTCAGGAAATGAAATGCAGCGGTGACATAGTCTGTTTTAGATTACCACAGAAAAAGTTGAGATACCAGCTACACGGAGTTGTCCGTGCGTGACGAGCAACCATCTGACATGTTTAGTCGGGTAATACATGTAGCATTTATGTACTATAGACTTTAATTTCACATATACATTCATTTGTAAAAACAATTTATATACTGAACCTGTATTTTGATCCAGTCATTACTCCTTGGCTTCTACTTGAACAAATCTGCACTAAAGAGGATGCTTTCATATAAAATAAAACTTTTTAAGGATATCCGATCCTCAGCCAGGAAGGATAAGTTTTAAATTTATTATTTTATTTAAAAAGTCTTGAAATTGAGATCTTTTCATGCAACAATTTTTTATGCATCTCAATATGATTCAAGGTCCTTTGAAGTCTTAGAAAATGTCTTGTAAAAAGTTGACATTTGTACCCCAGAAAAGAAAAAAAAAAATCATTTTTAGAGAAATCGAATTTCCTTTAATCTAGCATTAGATACCAATGCTTATCAGCATGGTATGAAATTAGACGTGATATGTGATGTCTAGCAATGATAGCATTAATACATAACAATTGAAGTAAAGAGAACTAGAATACTGTATAAACATAAAAAAGATGCAATTTTCTCCAAATACCTAGATACCTATATTTTTAAATCCTAAGTTATATTTTTTGATCAATTTTCAATTAGAAAATGCATAGCTGGTGTTTTTATTCGCATTTCCTGAAAATATATTTGAGATCTTATAATTTTCCCTATATAATAGGATTAACTATAATGATGAACTTCGAAGAAATACCATGGGTAAATTCACGTTACTATGTGAAATCAGAGACATTTTTGTGAGCATTTTCAATTACTTAAAAGCTGATTTTCAGAACCTGAAGATCGGACTACATTAAGGACACCTTGCACTTTCACAAAGTAAACTTTATCCTTAATACTTAAGAAAAGTAGAATTTTGTTGTGTATTAATGAAAAATATTAAAAATTCAGAGTAGAAGTGTGAGAAAGCAAAACCAACTCACCAGTATTATCAGTCCGTGCTCAGTGATGTGTGCAGAGTTTAACAAATTGAACACACCCGGTGAAAAATAAACATTAACAATAGCAGAGCTCGTGCCATGTTTACAAAAACAGTTTACGTTTCACCGGGTGTGTTCACATATCACTGAGCACGGACTAACAATACTGGTGAGTTGGTTTTGCTTTCTCACATTTCTACTCTGAATTTTTTGGATTGCAGTTTAAAAAAAAATGCATATTTGAAATTTTAAACACGGTAATTTGAAAATCTCACAATTATGTTTGCTATTTTCTTTGTAAATCCTTAGTATCTGTCATATTTTATAGTACTCCTTAAAACAGGAAATTCGTATATGTTCACGTTTTGAAATGCCCCCTCTGAAAACAAGACAGTAGAATTCTGTGTTTCTTGCATATATTGTACAATATTGTTTTTCTCATCACATATTATAATTTGAGCAAAAAGCCATCGTAGTATTTTAATAATTTGCATTGAAGTGCGAAAAAAAAAAGCATTTGCCCATGCAATTCTATAGTAAATGTAACTGTGTTTTGACATAGTCCCTAAAATACATAGACGGTAGATTTTCCTGAAACTTTGCAAGTACACAGAAGTCAGTATAGGCTTCATATGGTATAAAATAAAAAAAGTTGTTCTGTTGTAGTTTTTACTCAATAAAACCCCAGTCGGCTCCCCTAAAATCAGGAGATGAAACTGAAAATTAAAAAAAAAAATCAGTTGTAAATCATTTGTTACCGTATGAAGAAAAAAACAACAACATTAATTAAAGATCATTTGCGCACTCAGTCCAGCTAAGCAAAAGGATTCAAAGTCCTACTTATATTATTAGTGACCCCTCCACACCCCTTTCACCCACTGAATTCAACTGTTTAAAAAATGATGAAGTTAAATGAAAATACAAGTAATAAGATAGTTCATAAATTTACTGTTGAGCAATTGAAGAATAAAAATTAAGCTGGTTATAACTTCTGAAGGTCAAAATTATCGCTATCGCTCCACAACAAACAAAAAAAGTGGGCCTATATGTACGAAACTGTCTTTGGCTTAGTGACGATCTCAGATGCTTGCAAGATTCATTGTTAAAGATATCGCAGATATTTATTTTTAAGAAAGTCTAAATTATTTTCAGTTCCTAATTTTAACAATCATTACGCTTTTCAGACTGTTAATCTCATTGACACAAATGCCACTGAAATTATTCGTTAAACAATATATATACACGTATTATACAAGTGGTCAATTATGATAAATGTACAGTTGTATATCAAAAATTATCATAGGTTAATATTGAGTTTCCTTACCTTTATCCTTGTACACTGGCATATAAGATAAGATCACTAGTTCTACAAATGACAGATTCACATATACGCCAACATGAATCTAGGCGTCTTCATAGTTTTTATAAGTCTCTCTCTAACCTTCGCTTTCCCCGAAATTTCCATTGTTGGAAAGTCGGCTCTGAAGCTAAGTAAACCAGGTAACAATTGATTTTATTTGTACATTTATTTGTAAGTCGGAGAAAGAACTCATTAATTGTTCTCATTTTGCTAATGAATTCAATAATTTTAGACGAGGATGGTATTTCTACGGTGTTTTTTACTGTGAAGAAACCCGATGGGGAATCTAAGGAATATGCAATAAAGACTAAAAACGAGGGTAAGTTTATTTAACCATATATGCGTTAAAAGATTATTTTATGAAAAATATGCAGCTGCTATAATGTCCAGGTGTGATACTTAGTATGGACACTGTTCTTGATTAATTCCATCGAAGAAAAGAATGAAGAATATTTATTTTTCACTTATATTAACTTTTTTATACTCGAGCTCACAAATCATACCCCATTTTCATCTAATTTCAAAATCTTGGCCACAGTGATTTAATGTTCACCTCCACTTAATCAATTCCCTCCCATGCTATAAAATTTTTTAACAAATTTTTTTTTATAAAAATTTAAATAATCTGCCCTAATTAAAATCTAAAGATCTCTGACATGTCGTAGTTTGGTACTGTAATACTTGTATTAACAAAAAAACCTTCTATGAAGTTGTCTCGGATAAAGTCTTTTTTCCCTCAACCCAAAGTTGATTTATTCTTTGTTCTAGAGACTGACATGTGGGAGTTTGTAGACACTACGTCAGACTTCCATATTGGAGACGTGGTAGAGTACAAAACTGCAGTGGTCCAGAACGGAATGGTGGTGGAGTCAAAGTGGAACAAAGGTAAATATTTACTGTTTCCAGGTATAACATAGAATAAATTGTATTTGAAATAAATTCAGCGAGATTTCTATCATTATTATTCACTGCAAGTTACTGTACGGAAGGAAGTCTTTGAAAGAGCTTTCTTTTCCCTTCGTTTTTAGCTACCTTACTGAAGCAATTAAAACCAGGCCAGTTTCGTAGTCTGAGACAAACAGTGGTTTTCAGAGATGATTTTAATGGTCATTTTAACAAGGGTCACTACACAACTGACGTCAGTGCCTGGGGAGGAGGAGTAAGCCAGAGAAGCTATTACAATGCCTTTACTTGAATTTAACAGTCGCATATGTATTTTTGAATTTTAGAGTTACTTTGTTTTAAAAATGCACGGAAACAATATTTTTCAAAAAAAGTACAGTGTATATAAATGTATTTAACAAGTACTGAACGTTTGTAATGGAGAAACTATTTGTTGCAGAATGGAGAATTTCAAGTTTACACACCAGAATCTGCTAATGTTCACACGGCAAATGGTTATTTATATCTTAAACCTGTGAGTACAGTTACAGTGTTATTAAATTTTGAAAATCTCTATTCTAGGGTAGGTCCTCAAACGGCAAACATTTAAGTCTTTTCAAGAAAAAATAATACTATAAAGAAACCTTTAATATGACCTCAATTCCATTGTAGACATTGACAGTTGACCATCATGCTTTTAATGAGGGGTTATTATACAATGGTCATATGGATGTTCGAGGCAAGTATACAATACTTCCGGCAGTAAACAGATATTTTGTGAAATAATGCATATAGCAACTCTTGCTCTCAAAGGAGATTCTATCATACTAACATACTATTATACTAAATAAAAGTTTGTATTTTTCTGAGCTGTCAATGTTTTTTTCACTTTGAGCAGGTTTATGGCATACCTGTACAAATAATGTCAACAATGGGTGTTACAAATCAGCTTATGGTCAGGAGATTCTTCCACCCATCATGTCAGGAAAAGTAACAACTCATGCTGCCATCAGATACGGAAGGGTCAATGTAAGAGCACGGGTACCAAAAGGCGCTTGGCTTTGGCCAGGTATATTTGTAATATTAAATAAAAATGAGAATCACGTCTCTTAATGTCACCACTTTGGTTTAAGATCATACCTACATACTTCATGATCATATAGTACGTTTATCTTTTTTTTGCCTACTCCACATAAGCTGTTTGGTTGTTACCACGTGATAATCATTATGGAGGTTGGCCTCGTTCTGGAGAAATAGATCTTATGGAGACAAAAGGTGAGGAAATAAGCTCTAACAGTGAAAACATAATTTTTGTAGTTTTACGCAATTGACGTGATCTAACTCTTGATGTAAAAGGAACGAACAAACTTAAAAGTAAATGACGTGATTAGAAATATTTAAAACACTCATATCCTTATATTCTAATGTAACTATTGTAAAATGCATTTTGATTGGCTAATACACTGATGTTTGAGGCAGTTGGAAGCATTAACGAGAGTGAAAACTTTTGTTTGTGACATCATGATAGATGGGCGCAAAAAAAAAACAAACAAACAAACAAACAAAACAAAACCAAAAAAAAAAAAAAAAAAAAAAAAAAAAAAAAAAAAAAAAAAAACAATGCTTCGTGACATATTTCATGTAACAAAACTCAAAGAAAAAAGAAGATAAAAACATAAAACAAAATGCATAAATTGCATTTAAATGGTAAAAACTATCTGCTCATTTGTTATTTGCGACCATTAATGCCGATTTTTGAAATATTCAAAGTACTATCATTCCAGTAACAGCGTGTCACTTTGCTTGATCGATTGTGATAAAGTTTCACATGTTGATTACCATATTACTCATCGATTGAATGTTTTATTTCAATGAAAGCAATACTACTTTGCATATGAAATACAGAACCCAGCAATACTGACCAGTCGTATTGAATGGTTGTTAACGAGAATACAGTAAACAATGATCACATGTGGACAGGCAAAGCAAGTTTTAATCCTTATAATGATGATATTGATCGCTATATAGTATAATAATAGCAGAGTATAGCCTTACTTATTTCATGCTTTAAATTTTCTCATATGTACATGTATTAACTCCATTCGGTCAAATCACAACAAATATGACACATATTATTTTGAGAACAAAAAAACAGGCTTTGACTGACCACGTGTTGCTGCTGACTGCCGCACTGGTAAACAATCATTCAATATGATTGGCCAGTGTTATCGGGGTATTGTTGGATTCTGTGTTTCTTTAGCTGCAATAATGTAGCCCTCTCTCTCTCTCTCTTTTTTTTTTGGGAGAGGGCTACAACTCCTTAGGATCTCCGTAATGGTGCAAGTGCGGGAGTGATTCACTCCTGCACGGATTTCGGCTTAAATTATCAGTAAATGGCTATTAAATTAACATTTCTTACCTGAACTCCAAAAATGTAGTTAAGCAAAACATAAATCAATCCAAACATACACAGAACAATCCATATATCGGTTATTTTTCGTGTATGTCAACATTACAACTTGAATTTATCCGCCATGTTTACTGACCTTGATCGATTTTATTTTGGGACAGCCAATGAGAATAGGGATCTCTAGGCAGCGGATCTCTGTAGGAATTACCTTATTTTAGGCATAGATATCGCTGTTTACGAAAAAATGTCACATGGAATAGTTTTATTTATCAATATTTAGTGATGCCATACAGCACAATCATTTAGTAACCCCGAAAATCTACTTTACAAAGTAATTTATAATTTTCAAGAGCAAGTCTCAGTGCATCACGCGAGAACTGTCATGGCTTCTGATGAGAGCAACTGGTAAACAAGCAGATTTATTTTATCTGGTTTTCGCGTTTAACGGGCTATGTTGTTGACAGTGAATAAAAATTTCGCCCTTTTAGAAGTAAGTTGAATGCAAAAACAATATATTTTGCCTGCAGTCGCCGGTATTTGAAAAAATATATTTGCACCATTACAGAGATGCTGTGGAATTGTAGCCCTCTCCAGAAAATATCAGATAAAAAAAAATCGGAGAGGGCTACATTATTGCAGCTAGTGTTTCTTATGCAAAGTGGCATTGATTTCATTCGAATCAAACATCCAATCGATGAGTAATATGGTAATCAATTTGTGAAACTTTAGCACGCTTGATCAAGCAAAGTGACCCGCTTATAGTGAAGATCTAGTAAGTCTTTTTGGTGCTAGATCCATAATGATGTCATAATTGATTTAATTTTTAGTGATACCACCAATTAGTGATATTATCTTCTTAAATCTCTGAAAATGTCCTTAATTTTTAAATAAGATAAATATGAGAAGAATCCCTCTTTGATGCTAAATAATAGGATAGGTAGATAGATTCAATGCATTATTTGCATATATTTTCTAAATGTAAATAATCAACAGGTATTTCTGTGGACCGAAATTCTTTCACCAGAAACATTTTTCGTGAGAAAAAATGACAGGTAATGTTTGTTTATAATGAACTAAGTAAACTAAATTTGTTTAACAATCTCTATAAACCTCAATATATGATACAATGTTTTGAAAGCCCCCAAAACATATTTCATTTTAAGAGCTTCCTAGGAGCTTAATTAGGAAATAATCAGAAACAGGCACATTTGCTATTCAATACTGGTATAAAATCCTGACAACTTGAATCATGTTAGGAAATGCTTGGACCAATGAATGGGGCGGAGATCATGGTATTCGTTCTATGGCTTCTACATTACACTGGGGGCCTGATTCTGGACATAACTGCTTCCAAAAGACACATGCTGAAAAGTAAGTAATGCACTAAGGGAGTTCCTACAATTCTACCCAATGAATGGGGAAATATTATTTCAATAAATTCAAGTTAATTATACTAAATAACTCGGTCATGAATGTCAATTAAACATTGTGATTTATTTTAAACACACATGCAACAAATTTCTTCAGGTATTTGAACCAACCTGATGGATGGCACGGATGGCATACGTACTCTTTGGACTGGAATCAAGATCATCTCAGGTACGTTATTATTTTAATACACTGAATGCAATTTATATAATTATTTCATTGGTACATTTTAATAAGAAAATGTTTGAATCTTAAGGACCAAATAAGAGAGAGAGAGAGAGAGAGAGAGAGAGAGAGAGAGAGAGAGAGAGAGATTTTACAAAACTTCCTGTATTCAGTTGTAAAAATGACTGAGTTAGACAAACATGTTTGGGAACAAGTGTCTGACCTAGAGTGACTAAAGTAAGCCTTACCATGTTGTAATGAAAAAGGCGACGATAACGAACAGCGATCGGTCTCATAAAAACTGCAAACAATACAATTCTGTAAACAGGGAATTTTGAAGTGAAAGTAGCGTATCCTTTGGATGAGACCTTAAAAACCGAGGCCCCGTGTCACGGCAGGCATTGGTACGATAAAGATCCCTCACTGCTCAATGGCCCTGAGTGCCGAGTAAAGGTCTTAATTTGAAACCCATCACCATTATATAACGTCGTCTCTATATGAGGGAAAAAGTCTCGAAATGGACGTAAAACAACATAGAATCAATCATTCCGTAGTTAAATTAAGTACAAAAACAAAGGCCTAGCAATTGCTATGAAACCAGTCAGCCAAAATACGACCAAGAAATAGGTTAGTAGAATACATTTGCTAATATTAACATTTGGAAATGTATCCCCTTTTATAACACTATTTGAACAAGGCATTTTTAAAACTGTATATATGCGTTATATTCATTGTTAAGTCATTAACAATTGACTTAATTTCACAGTGACTTCATATTAAAGTAGTCGAAGTGTTCAACACATTTAATTTTTACCTTTCAGGTTTGGAAAAATCTAAATCATTTCATTTCGTTTTAAACTAAAGTACGCAAATATTTGTTAAAAATCAGTTACAAATGTAATATAAATAATAAGGTATTATTTAAAAACTTTTATCAGGATGTAAATAAGGTTACTATGTGATCAAATCTTCCACAAAAACACTTGGGCTTTATGGAATTTGATCACAAGACTAACTCGTATTAACATCACAATTTTTTTTAAAAATGACACCTTATTTCTTAAATAACTTAAGGTCATTATAATGACCGTAGAATTTACAAAATGCTGACTTTAAACGAGGTTGTTGAAATCCCTGTAACATCACCTTATGTGTAAGTAGCCTGCTTCGGTTGAAAAATTGATCATACTCAGAGCATGCTCTTAATTAGCGAATGTTGGGAGACATAAAAACCATATGCAGGTGATAGCGGAATATTACGAGATAAATAAGGAAAGTTGACGATGGAAAAGCTGAAGTCATCTCTTTTGTCATACAATTTAGTTGTAAGTCGGCTTTTGTCGTATATAGTGAGTAAAACCTCCAGATATGAATGAGATGTTGTAGATTCTGTGGTGTCCTTTATTTCAAGTTCACTGGGATATATCGAGTCAACATATGAATGGAAATACGTATTGTTATTGATAAAACGTCGTCGATATATCTGAATGTCAAGTTTAAGGCCACGGCAAGTGTTTTACTCTTCTCAAGTAGAAGTTTTTGAATAAATTCTGCTTCATAGAAGTTTAAAAACAGATCGGCTAATAAAGGAGCACAATTGGTGCCGATCGGGGTTCCAACAGTTTGTTCGAATACTTGTCCGAAGACTACATAAATTATGACAATGAGGAACATCCAGCATCCTTTTAATATCAACTTCAGAGTACTTATGTCTAGAATCAAAGTGATTTTTAATGAAGTAATTTTGTTGATGACCAATCACGAGATGCATGTGAAAATTTACGAATTTCGTTCTTTTTAAAGAAGCAGTTGTATGTGATATAAAAAACGTAGTTTTTAATTCATCGTGAGGAATGATTGCATAAAGTGTAGAAAAGTCGTTCGTTTTGATGTTATAGACTTTTGAAAAATTAAAAAAATTTCTAAAAGTTCTTAGAGTTTTTGAGGATCCACATCTGATTTACACCACTCCTAAAATATGCTGTAGCACAGTACGTCTGCAGTTTCTCCTTAATAGCAGTTAATTTTTCATTAAAGAGTAAAGACAGGGGATTGGTAGAGTATTTGCTGGGCTCGGCAATATATTTTTGTTTGCAAGGATTTTTATGAAGTTTAGTAATCCAGTATAGGTAGGGTAGATCGAACTCACTTGGTTGACTGAAATGTTAAAAAGTATAAAACAATGAAATGTGATTTTGAAGAATTTCATCTTTAGAAACATTTAGAATTTTATAAATCAATTTTCATTTTTTTATGAATATGAATATAATAAATTATATAAAACTGTTTTAGAATCTTAGTAGACAATCAGGAGGTATTCAGACTGAATACTCCCTGGAATGGTATGTATAACTACTGTCCTTTCCACAACGTTGAGGACCCCTGGAGAAACGGACCACACAATGCTCCTTTTGATCAGCCAGTAAAGTATCTTGTTATTTTTTTTTATCACATCGAGTAAAGTGGGTTAACTTATACTAAATACTGAGTTCGAAATCAAGTTTCTGTAACGAAAAAAAATAATTTCATCTCATATGTGCCTGCATGTTTCTTTGCGCAAAGGAATTATTTTTGAAATAAAAATATAAAATGTTTATACATGTCTTCTACTTAATGCTCAAAACAATGAATTTTGAAAATGGAATAAGCAGCACTGTGACTTAGGCATGATATTCCAGCAGTTAGCGGACAAAGTCAATAAATTTGACGAAATTAAACATTAAATTCATTTTGTAAAAGACGTCCCTTCTTCAAACTCAAATTCTAAGTTTTGATGTTCCCAAACTTTTATGATTTAGTTCCACCTCATTCTGAACGTGGCTGTAGGAGGAGGCTACTTCAGTGACGGACAATTCGATGTACCCAAACCTTGGCACGGCGGATCTCCACATCCTATGAGAGACTTCTGGGAAAAACGAAGCAGTTGGCTGAGTACATGGCATGGGGATGACGTCGCTATGTTGATTGATTATGTAGAGATGATTCAGTACTAACTTATGTCATTAGAATAACAAATCTAGAAGGATACTGTATTACTTTGTTGCCTGTGTATTAAACCTTCCATGAACATATTGATTCAATTAGTTTGTGATAATTTCAGTATGTTTCATTTTTTTATGCTATCACATTGGTTTGACTTAACAAAACTCACCAAACTTGGTCGATTTGGTACGCATTACTACCATCTTCTACCACCTTTTGCAATATTCTTTAATCAACTTGAGAAATATGGAGTAGGAGTAAGGTTCGAACTCCTGTGATAAAGAATACAAATATGGTATAATAATGTGTGCAACAACTTGATTATAATTCATGCTCATTATTGGCGGTTCATTTGATATAAGTTAATGGAAATATATTATAATAGCAGATGAGGTTTTACTTTAAAATACACTTTTTTTTATTATGCTCTATATGCATATACTCAGTTGAACAGACGATAATCATGCAAAGTTCCCAAACATTTTGTGACATGCTTAAAGATCACTCTTTCGTTGCCTCTTCTAAATACACCCCTTTATTCCTCCCTGACCAAACTGTCTTCTTTGAGATAAAAGATATTAAAAGAGTGTATCTCATTCTCCAATAATTTTTGTAAAACGTGGTACACTCTTTAAAATCTTTTAATATTACCAGGTAAAAAATTAACTGGAATTAAAAAACAACTGGATTTCTGGCATCTCGCTACCTTGAGACATGAATTTGAACGTGAAAAAATACAATGTAAAGACATAAAGAGAGTCCTTGTGTTGTTTCATTTACACATGACTTTCATCTGTAAGTTTCAACTAGTTATAATTGAAATATATAATTTTATATTTTGTATTTTAAATTTTTGTGAAAACAAGACATGCTTTTAATAATGGTTGTTAACATTTGACATCTGCCCAAAGAAGATCAAGGAGCAGTGCTATAGAACTATGGTTAGGCCCATAACAGAGTATGCCAGCGTAGTATGGGACCCAGTCACACAGAAGGACATCAACAAGATCGAGATGGTCCAGAGAAGAGCCACCCGTTTTGTCTACGTACGGAGACTACAGAACCACCAGTAGCGTCACATCAATGATTCAAGACCTCCACTGGAATACTCTCCAATACCGTAGAGAAATGCTTAAAGTTACAATGCTGTATAGAGTCATCAATGGATTAGTGGCTATTCCAACACAGCCATACTTAACCCTAATACAATCAATTACAAGAACAAGAGGGCACAGTCTGCGCTACCAAATTCCATACTCCAGAGTGCAGAATCACCAACAATCCTTCTTCCCTTCCTCAATCCGCCTATGGAACAACCTCCCAGTCAGCGTTGTCTATGCTCCAACTTTGGAGGGATTTAAGGAGCAGCTGCACCAACTCAATTCATATACCATCTAGAATAGTGCTGCATTTTTAACTGTACATATGGACTTTTATCTTTAAACAGGTGAATATTTTGATTTTAACGGCACGCTTCTGCTGGGCATGCGGAGCAAATAAAGTCTGCGATAATACTCCAGAGGAGGTTTGCAGTTACTTCAAAGAAGAAGAAGACGAAACCTCGGACTTATTCAGGCAGATATTTTTTTGTTATACAAAGTTGTGTGTACAGGAAAAATAGTATTTATCAAGAGAGATAAGATCGGTGTGTACAAAAATATGTTAATTTTCTGCTTAACTTTTTATTAGAAGTTTATTCTTCTGAATAAGTTAAGACGATCAGGTGAGTGCAAACGAAAAACACAAGAAATGCAGAGGCGAGACTGTTATATGGAAAACTTACAAGAGCTAGATGAATCCTTGCGTATCCTGAAGAACAAGTAAGAAATAAATGTTTTGTTACCTTATTGTAGTCATAATAAATTAGAGTCATACATGTATGCAATGCAAGATGAAATGCAGGCCAATTAAAACTTGAACTGCTACTGAAAATCGGTATTTTTTCTTATTAAAACTAAAAGTCCACATGCAAAATAGTAGATTGCCTGGTAGTTAAATATTGAATAATGTAAATCCAATTAAAACATCTGAAGAAATTCCTGGTAAAAAGTTTTTTTTTTCCTTTTTCCGACTTTCTTTTCAAAATATATAATAGCTATAGAAGTTAACTGTTGTTCTTGTCGTTAAAAGTTTAAATTACAAAATTACTTAGAACAATGGAAGTCAAACTTTCCAGAGAGATTTTGTAATTTCTTGACTGCAGTCCCAATCATTTTGTGCCGATCCACGGTCTGGTTTTAGTTTTGGGAAATATCTAACCTTGCAATTGCATTGAGAAGAGAAGAAGGGAAGGAGGATGAAAGATGGTACAGTATGTTGATGTATGTATAAGTATTATTATGTACAGTCAAACCTCGTTATCTTGAACTTGAAGGTACCGAGAAAATACTTCGAGATAACCGAGGATTCGAGATATTCAGGGTAAAATACTTAAAGAATAAGTAGTTGGGACCTCAAAATTACTTCGACATATCCATGGTATTCGAGATATCCGTGTTCGAGATACCGAAGTTCAACAGTATTTAACAACTAACCATCAGGAAAAATATAGTGAAAGAGGTAAAGAATAACTAAAGATAGCGAACAGTGATCGATCTAAAAATCTACAAACGGCGCATAACACACTGATCTACCCCCAGAAATTCCAGAGATGGGATCAGATGCCTAGGAGTAGTAAGCATCCCCTGTTGACAGGTCACACCAACTGTGAAACTTATATATTGATCAAGTAGACGGGACATTCTGTAGTCAAATTAAGTATAAAAGTAAATGCCTTACAATTAGTACGAAACACGTCAGCCAAAATACGACCTAATCATAGGTTATATTTGTTAACAAGGTTATCATGACCTTAGAATTTACGAATTGCTTACCTTAAACAATGTTGTTTAAATCCCTGTAACATGAACTTATCTGTCAGTAGCCTATCTTGGTTTAAAAACTGATCGTAGTCGGAGCAATTCTCTTGAGTAGTAAATGAGGAGTTGGGAGGCGTAAACACCATATGCAGGTGATAGCGGAATACTAGTATTACTGTATACTTGTAATACAATTTAGTTGTTAGTTGGTCCTTATCGACTATAGTCAATAAAACATCCAAATATGAAACAAATATTGCAGACTGTGTGGTGTCTATTATCTAAAGTTTACTGGGGTATATTGAGTTGATATAGGAATGGAAGTAATTATAGTTAATTGATACAACGTCTTCCATATATCTTAATGTCGAGTTGAAGGCCACAGCAAGCTGTCGTGAGCAACAGTGGCTGTCAGCTATCATCCGCAACTGTACTCGGCAATGCTGGTACCGGACATCCATGACTGTACCTGCTCACTAATATCAAAAACGGAATGTCAGAGCAAGACTTTCCGGATTGTTCAACGTATTAAACTGTATGTTGTTAATTAAGTATGGATTGTTTTTTTAATGAAACATACGAAATGTGTTAATAATTAATCTACTTTATGGAAGGCTGTAATCGCCAAAACGGTAACGATAACTAGCTTAGTGAATATATCGCGGAAAATATATTTGTAAGCTTGACTATGCCTAAATCCATTGCATAGATCGCTATTATCTCTAAAAAGTAACATTTACTACAGCGTACATTTTGTATATCTATGACTGTATAATACAACATCTGCGACTGTACCTGTACCGTACATACACACTACCACTGACTCAACCCGCGCTTGATTAACTTAACCCGCGCTTGATTAATAACATCCACAACAAAAAATTCTGTGGATTTTCTCCGATTTAGATTTAGACTGAATTCAATCAAAGCGCAATTAACGCTAATCTTTATATTACCCATGACAGTGATACCGAGACAAACGATGTCAGCAGTGATTAGGGAAGGATCCAAAACTTTTACAGATTTAAATTTAAAGCTTTATGTTCAGAGTACAATGTGAGCCAGGTCTTTAATTTTTTTTTTTTTGGGGGGGGGGGGGGCTGGGGGCATGATTTCAATATCCTACATGCTCAATAACAATGATGAATTTAAAATGAAACATGCTAGTATAATTATAGAAAATATACGAGTAAACAATAAACAAAGTAAAATAAAAAAGGAAATTAAAATAAATATTGGAATTAAATTGTAATCCTTAATTTTAAGTTAGAAAGTATAAGTACGTCACAATATTATTAATTTCACCCATTTCATTGATCACGCAAGAGGTGTCAATGAAAAGCACAGGTTTTTTCCCATAAATATATGTCTTACGATATATACGGGTGGAATAGGCTAATCCACCCGTTTTCAATGTGTTATATATAAACATCTCAAGTGCACCCCAGGAAGTAGCCTCCTATGCCCTGAAAAAGAATAGTTCCTGACAAAAAAAAAATTATTTATTTACAAAGTACATAAAATTTACTAGGCACAGGTAACAAAGTTGTAAAAATAGGCTGGAAGACCCCCCCCCCCAAAAAAAAAAAAAAAAAAAAAAACTCTCAAAAGAAATAAAAATTAATTTCATATGCATGAAACAATTAACATCTTGCTGGTCGATAACCGTGGTGTGATACCTGGAATATGTAGGGTATGGTATTAAAATAATTGCTCATATTAAAGGAAATTAATCCTATAATTATCGATAACATCCGAAGAAAATATTTGTATAAGTAAATATTTTTATTAGATCCACCTCTCTAAGATTCTGCTATGCTGTCCAGACAACTCTAGAAATTTTACACCATGACTGTACCGGTGCCTGATTGACAACATCCACGACTGTACCTGTCCAGTACACACACTTTATTCTACATCCATGACTGTACCAGTGCTTATAAACAACATCCATGACTGTACCCATGCCTTATAAACAACATCCCTGACTGTACCTGTGCCTTATAAACAACATCCCTGACTGTACCTGTGCCTTATAAACAACATCCCTGACTGTACCTGTGCCTTATAAACAACATCCATGACTGTACCTGTCCAGTACACACACTTTATTCTACATCCATAACTGTACCTGTGCCTTATAAACAACATCCCTGACTGTATCTGTGCCTTATAAACAACATCCACGACTGTACCTGTACCTTTTAAACAACATCCATGACTGTACCTGTGCCTTATAAACAACGTCCATGACTGTACCTGTCCAGTACACACACTTTATTCTACATCCATGACTGTACCCATGCCTTATAAACAACATCCCTGACTGTACCTGTGCCTTATAAACAACATCCCTGAATGTACCTGTGCCTTATAAACAACATCCCTGACTGTACCTGTGCCTTATGAACAACATCCATGACTGTACCTGTCCAGTACACACACTTTATTTTACATCAATGACTGTACCTGTGCCTTATAAACAACATCCCTGACTGTATCTGTGCCTTATAAACAACATCCACGACTGTACCTGTACCTTATAAACAACATCCATGACTGTACCTGTGCCTTATAAACAACGTCCATGACTGTACCTGTCCAGTACACACACTTTATTCTACATCCATGACTGTACCTGTGCTTTATAAACAGCATCCACGACTGTACCTATCCAGTACACACACTTTATTCTACATCGATTACTGTACCTGTGCCTTATAAACAACATCCAAGACTGTACCTGTGCAGTATACACATCTTACTCTACATCCATGACTGTACCTGTGCCTTATAAACAACATCCACGACTGTACCTGTCCAGTACACACACTTTATTCTACATCCCTGACTGTACCTGTGCTTATAAACAACATCCATGACTGTACCTGTCCAGTACACACACTTTATTCTACATCCCTGACTGTACCTGTGTCTTATAAATAACATCCACGACTGTTCCTGTCCAGTACACACACTTTATTCTACATCCATGACTGTAACTGTGCTTATAAACAACATCCATGACTGTACCTGTCCAGTACACACACTTTATTCTACATCCCTGACTGTACCTGTGTCTTATAAACAACATCCATGACTGTACCTGTCCAGTACACACACTTTATTCTACATCCACGACTGTACCTGTGCATATATACATACTTTATTCTACATCCATGACTGTACCTGTGCCTTAAAAACAACATCCACGACTGTACCTGTCCAGTACACACACTTTATTCTACATCCCTGACTGTACCTGTGTCTTATAAACAACATCCACGACTGTACCTGTGCATATATACATACTTTATTCTACATCCCTGACTGTACCTGTGCCTTAAAAACAACATTCACGACTGTACCTGTCCAGTACACACACTTTATTCTACTTCCATGTCTGCATCTTTGCGTTATTAACAACATCCAAGAAAAGTTACTCAAGGCTCTACTAAAAGTTTGTTCTTTTGTCGTTTGTGACCCGAACCCCCACCCCCAATGCAACCCCCACTCCGTCAAAAAAATTGAATCATATAATCCTGCAAGAAAGCTTGGGATTTAGTCTTTTTTTTTAAGAGGAAATACTCCTTCTTTCGATATACTCCATCCTCGCCTTCACAACTTCTGCCAAGTTTTATTATTATTGTAGAAGAGTTTATAGGTAATGGATTAATTATTTTAAAACCAGTGTCAAAAAGTTAACTGTTCATTTAAAACTCTTCTCATAAAGAGGGGGAAGGGTTAGACAATTTTATAAATTGAAATCGGGTTTTAAACATAACAAGTGATCCAGATTTTCAAATACTCATGGAAATGGATAAATAACCATCAAATCTCTCCGTATGTTTAACTTATGTAAAAGTCAACTGACATATTAGATTCATTGGCAATAAAATGACTATTTTTGCTGCTTTTAGTATGTAAATATATGTTCTACACCCTCATACCCCCCCCCCCCC